GCTCCCGACCCCGACTCAGACTGCCAACACTCTACGCAGCCACTCCGCAGCCCCTCCATCCGGGGATGGCGCTGCATTGAATACACCACGAAGGGCTCTCAGGTCCCGCTAGAGCGAGTCCACAAGTCTCAGCTAGGGCAAAGTCAAAGGCTCTCTGAAACAACCCCCCAAAACACCACCAACGAAAACGGGATTCGAAGGGAAAAACAAACAAACAAACAAAAATACGGTTAGGGCAGTCCCGGCAGGGGAGGGCTCCTGATATACCTAACAGGCCAACAAAAAAACCTCCAAGAGAGAAAGGCTAAGAGAGCTCGACACCACAAGACGTCTTGCAACCACCTTAAAACAACTGACCTCCACCACCTGTCCCTTCCTGGGCTGGTCCAGGGGAGAAGTAGCCTTATAAAGAAAGGGGATTCCGCACAAGCCTGATCACCACTGCAGGGGCCCGGGATAGTCCGGCGAGACCACAAAAGCGTTAGCGTTGCCACGACACACAGCTCCTAGACCCTCCAGAAAACCGCAGGGGGAGGATTGTAGCCCGCACGGCGCCTCCCCCTTACCGCCACTAACCTGAACGGTTGGTCCTCCGGAAACCTATTCACCCTGTCTCGTACTGCACCGTTCTCACCCTCGTCCCTCACCAAGCAACCCAGTCCCACAGAGAAGACGTGTCTAAATAGAATGGCCCTCCTCGGGCCACATCTCCCCCTCATCCGAGCCCCGCTACCACCACCAGACCTCAACCTCCCAAACACCAGAAAACCTACGTCCTTTTGGCGCTCTCACCGCCATCTCCCCCCTCCCCTGTCCGAGCGACCCCATCTCCCCCCGGCTCTCCAGCCCCCTACAATCTCGGAGCGGCACTAGGGAAGAAAAAGGGTTCTTCCCTGCACGACGTGACCGCCTCCATTCCCCGTCCTTCTCCTCTCCCTCTCCCGTCTCGGGGTTCCCTCTCACCTATTCCCTTGACCTCCAACCCCCATCCCCTTCGAACTCCTATATCCCCCCGAGCCCTGCCCTACAAACTAAGCTCAAAGCGCTCTTAGGCAATAATTCCCACCGCTTCGGCGCACCGCAGTGCGCCTTCTGAAACCGACAGGATCGGGTGGTCGGGTCCCACCCTGTCCCAGCCTCTCCGCGGGGTGCCCAGCGCCGTGAAGGAGCGCAGACGCGCCCAGAAGTCCACCACTGCCCGGGCGCAGGCCCGCTCATATGTATGTATGTATGTATGTATGTATGTATGTATGTATGTATGTATGTATGTATGTATGTATGTATGTATGTATGTATGTATGTATGTATGTATGTATGTATGTATGTATGTATGTATGTATGTATGTATGTATGTATGTATGTATGTATGTATGTATGTATGTATGACTTAGATTACACTGTGGGCCGCGAGAGCCGGGGGCCGAAGCCGAAACACAGCGCAAGGGTCGGGAGCACACAGCACAATATATTTGTATGTATGTATGATGTGTGAAACAGGGGGGTGTATCTTCGCCCGTGGCAGCTACCCTGCGAAACCCTGCCTTCCCCGGTATTTCGGGGCACCCTCATCCAGTCACCCTAGTCAACTTCTCAGTGGATCGCTCAGGTTCCGCACCCACCACCAGCATCCAACGGAATCTGCCGGGTCGACAGCGGCCCAACTCCATTCCTGGTCGGCTCGCGGGTTAACTTTATCCCAGGTCACCACCGTCCATCAACTAGGGGCGCAATGCCTTCCACCATCGGAAGGACTTTTGACCCTAATGGGTATCAATCCCGGGATCTCCCGTGGCCAATGGTCGCGCCTTACCAGTAGTGCCAAACCCTATGTATGTATGTATGTACGTATGTATGACTCACTGACTCACTGACTGACTGACTGTATGACTTAGATTACACTGTGGGCTGACAAGCCGGAGGTCCAGGGCTGAAACACAGCGCAAGGGTCGGGAGCACACAGCACAAGTCGGTTAGTCTTGTGTGCTCCCGACCCCGACTCAGACTGCCAACACATAACGCAGCCACTCCACAGTCCCTCCATCCGGGGATGGCGCTGCAGTGAATACACCACGAAGGGATGTCAGGTCCCGCTAGAGTGAGTCCACAAGTCTTAGCTAGGGCAAAGTCAAAGGCTCTCTGATAACAACCCCCCAAAACACCACCAACGACAACGGGATTCCAAGGGAAAAAACAGAAAACAAAAATACGGTTAGGGCAGTCCCGGCAGGGGAGGGCTCCTGATACACCTAACAAGCCAAAAAGAAAAACCTCCAAGAAAGAAAGGTGTAGAGAGCTCGACACGCCACATCCACAGCGTTCTGGAGTCATG